TTTTACAGCCACATCATAATCAGCCTCTCATTTTATAGAATGTTCACTTTGTCTGGTTTTGTTGCAGTCTGCCCCATTTGATAAATTTGGTCAGCGCTATAACATGAGACTGCGCCATCTTTTTCTTCTAACTACATATTAAAGTGAATGTTTCGTTATCAACATGAGTCACGAGATAACCATTACTTAATACTAATATTAATTCCTTTGCAAGTTCTGATTAACAAAAATATCTCTATTCAAGAGTGTAACACAAACGTAATTACGCAACAAAGCATACGAATTCTATCAATATTAGTTGCGTAGCCTATAAAATAATTCCCCCGATACTTTCTCCTGTGATCAAAACCATGGCAGCTTGCGAACACGTATTAAATACGAAACTGACACCTCCTGACCGTAATACGCAAATCCATAAGGAAGAATGTACACAATGCTTTGATTCTCAGGTATCCCTCGGTCATTGGCGTCATTTACAGGGAACATATGTTTAGAGTATAACCGGGAAACGCATTATTGAATCTAAATATTGCGCGATATGATTATGTGATCTCGTAGGACTTGCCTCAGGGAATAGATGTATGCCTTTCCTGCTTTAATGCCGGATGCCTGGATAATGATCGGCATCATGCAAAGCTTCATTACCAGAAAACGAACCATCCTTTAACGTTGAACATACGTCGCATCAAAAAAGAGAAGCGCAAGAGAGTAAGGATATTCGACTGATTTATGTTTTAGAATTTGTATTATAACTTTCCATTTTACTATCTCACATCATAGGTTAGTGATGAGGAAGAACCACCGCTAAAAATCAGCAAGCTGGTTATTGTCCCCGAAGCTGAAGAAGATAAATATGAATACTTCACCAGAGTCAAGTGCTATGCTTGTGGAGAAAGCGAGATCGATAAGACTAACGGTATTGTAAGTAGCTGTGCGGTAACAAAAGCAAGTTCTTAGTAATCGGCAAAGCATTCGTCGTTGATACTAAATTCCTTACGCTTTGCGTGTTTCTAGTTACCGATTATCATAGATTCAGTCATGACCTCCCTTTCAGCTTCCAAGAAATCAGAAATTCAAGCATGGGAGCAAGAGATTGTGGCTTGTGATCATACTCGTCAACTTGTGCAAGATCCAAAGACTCTTTTGGAATCACAATGTGAGTGACTTATAGTCTGACATTAAACCACATTATTCTTCGTTTGTACTATGCTGATTTCTGTTAATTCAATTTTATTCTATCGACCAGCATTGGCGCATTGCAACGATTGTGATTTAAAGGAAAACTTGTGGCTATGCTTGACATGTGGCAACCTTGGATGTGGCAGGCAACAGTTTGGTGGGATTTCCGGGAATGGTCATGGTGTGGCACATTACGAAAAGACAAAGCATCCTGTTTCCTGTAAACTGGGCACCATCACGCCAGAAGGCACTGCAGGTAAACAAAAAAACTATATTTTCTCTAAACATGTTAAAAATAATGGCGGGAACAGAAGAATCCCAGTGTTTTGGCATTTTAGTATCAAAATCTGATTTTGCTCTTTTCACTAGACATTTACTGCTATCAGTGTGAAGAATCCAGACTTGATCCTCTCTTGGGACAACATTTATCTAATTTTGGGATTAATGTCGCGTCTCAGGTGAAAATGGAAAAGAGTATAACGGAACTGGCAAGTATTTTTCCTATCCGCGTTAGAAATTACAACTTGAAGTCTAAATAAGAATCAGCTTGGTAATATTAACGATCAACATACCACTGCCGGCATTTAGGAATTAGAACAGAACCTAAAATTTGACTTCAGCATGGTCACAGAAGATGGTAGACAACTCGATCCTTTGTTTGGTCCTGGTCACACTGGTATTAAAAATCTCGGGAACAGGTAAAAATGATTATAACTTTTATTCTATACCGAGATTTTTCTCACTCAGTGAGAAGCGAAAAAAAATACGCATACAAACTTACTAGCCTTTGCTTCATGGAAAAGTTGTTATATGGCTTCTGTATTGCAGTCAATCTTCTCTTTGGATGAATTTAAACAGAGGTAATCAATGTTTATTATTTCTTTTTCTTCTACTACCCCCGCCCCCTCGATTAAAGCTAATGAATCTCAATGATCAAGATATTTTTCGACTGCAACGGAACATTTTGTTACTTGTACGAATAATCCAGCCGAGTGTCTGCAATGTCAGATGGCAAAGATGGCCGATGGGTTGTTGAGTGGGAGGTATTCGAAGCCTGTTAAGTGTGTCGATGATGATGGGAAAGAGCATACTAAGCAAGAAGGGATTAAACCAGCAATGTTCAAAAGTTTAGTTGGGAAGGGGCATGAAGAGTTTTCTACTATGAGGCAGCAAGTACGTGCAATAATTGAAATGGGCGATCGCCGCATGTGACCGTTGTCTTTCACGCAATTTAAATGTCGAGCTACTTATTAAATGTAATTTTCTTCACAACTTTTACGTAGGATGCTTTTGAATTCTTTCAACATCTGGTTACAAAAATAGAACGAAATGAACATGCGACGGGAAACAGAGATCCAACACGCATCTTCAAATTCAAGAGTCAACAGAGATTACAGTGTACAGGCTGTAACCACGTTCGATATTCAGAGCATACCGATTCTACTATCTCGATCCCTGTCCCGGCAAGAAAGATTGAGAATGCAGAAAAAAAGGAAGGTGAAGAAGATCAGTATGAACCTATATCTCTCATAGAGTGTTTGGATGCGTTTTCTGCTGATAATATGGTTGAGTATAATTGTCCTATATGTCAGAAGGAGACTGTAGCTCTATCGTACGTTCTTTGGCATCATATTAGTAGTTTTGTAATGTCAATGAATACTTAATTAATATTCTCTCTTTTATAATAATCTCTCAGAAATACACGATTTTTAACTTTCCCAGAAGTACTTGCAATACAGATGCGACGATTTGAATATGTTAACTATGTTCCACGGAAATTAGGTAATATCAACATTTTGTTTTATATGAGCAGCTCGATTCCTAAATAACATATTACTTTGTCAATCTTTACCGCAGGTGTTCCTGTGATTCCTCCAAGCGGTCCTGTTAACGTTGACAAATACTTTGGGCGTGGTTTGCAGGAGGGGGAAAAGCTTCTACCGGAAGAACAGGCATCCGAGCCACAAGTAAATGAAAATATGTTGAATGAAATGTTATTAATGGGATTCCCAGAAATACGCTGCAAGAAGGCATTGATCGCTACTGGCAACAGAGATGCCGAAACGGCTTTGAACTGGATATTTGGACACATGGACGATCCCGGTAAATATACTGATGTTACTTGGCCATGGCCAAGAATGATAGAATTAATGGAGTGGTAAAGAAAGTTGATTTTACGACTATCATTATCCTTTAGATATCGATGCTCCTATCCAGACATCAAAAGCTGCTGGTCAAAGTGCATCTGAACCACCAGAAGCAGTTGTTCTTAACATGATGGATATGGGCTTCTCGAGGCCTCGCGCGATTAAGGCACTCAAAGAGACGGTAATTGCGGATACATCACCAATGTCGTTGACCTTCATTCTCGAGATATTTAACAGTTTTCCCTTGTTTAGAATAATAATCCGGAGAGAGCAATAGAGTGGCTGTTTAATCACACGGAAGAATCAATGGAAACGGAAAATACTGCTCAGCAATTTGGAGGTCATTGTTCAATTTTTCTTTTTTACATAAGTCCTGCTCCGTTCCGTTCCTTTCCTGGCTAAGCCATTGCTCTTATTTTTCCAGACTCAACACTACCCGCCAACTATGTTCTCCAATGTGTTGTCTCCCATAAAGGCACTTCTGTTCATTGTGGTCATTACGTTGCTCACGTACAAGAAGATGGCCAATGGGTGTTCTTCAATGATGAAAAAGTTGTCGCTACCTCTGGTCCAACTCACAACGAAGCATACTTTTATTTATTGAGGAGGGTGAGATAATAAGGCACACATTGGTTTCTTCGTTCTTGCATGATTTGTATTTCAATTAAAAATAAAAACCTAATTCGCTCGTATGGTGTATGACCGATATATACAAAAGTTCTTTTACTCGAAAAAAAAAATTCATTGGCAGTATCTTGCCTTTCCCCACAAGCTTTCCCAAATATATCGAGTGTAATATGAAAAAACTATATTCTCCAGCGACAATTTGCTATGAGGGAATCCCTTTAATCGACAACGAATAATATCCAATGGAGAGATTCAAGTGACGGATGAGCCCAACACATATTGAAAATTAAAATCCGTAATCGTCACTAACACTAAGCTCGCGAAACCAAAATAACCATTATTTTGATCTCACATCAGCACATTTTCGTTGGTTTCGCTTTCAGGAGTAACCATTGTATCGGCAGCTTTGTATGATGGCTCATCGGTTATCAAAGATTTTTTTGAATTCCTACGTGCGCTCTAATATTGATATTGGGAACGATGTATTAGCATAGATTAGTCGTTTCTGGACAACAATGACGACTATTCGACGACTTGTGCTGTTACCTTTGGAGGAACGTAGTCAGGATTAATTTTATATGTACTCCCATTTCGAATAAGACGACCCTTCTTGACAATTTTTTGTAATGCTTGAGAAGCCGACGCACGAAAGTTCTTGTGAAGCTTGTAATTACTGGAAATTCATTGTTAGTCTTATCATGTTTTCTAATATTACAAAGATCCAATTTTTTTCTAACATGGACGCACTGAACTTACGCATTCATCCAGTCAAACATGTGTTTAGGAGCGCTACCGTTTGGATCGTTTATTGCCGTAGCAGCTCTGACAATCATCTCTTCATAAGAGGGCAGTTCGGCGTTCTTGAACTTATTTTCTTCCTCACCGCCATTTGGTGTCGTTAACGGCATTATGGCTGATATCGGGGATACGCTTTGTTGTATTGAACTTTGAGAGTTTGCTTCAAACATACCTTTTATTCCATTTATATGGTCTAACGTTAGTGAAACAGCTGCCGTTGAAGTGAAAGTTTGTGGATGCTCAAGCGGAGGAGACAATGTTTCAATACGCTCTCTTAAATGACTCGGATAAAAAGGCAGAAGAGGGCTTATGTTTTCGGCAAAGAATATTAGTTCGATTAAATCTTCTTTTCGTAAACTGTATAGGTATGAATATTTCTGAGGACAAGCCAGTTTAACAGGCAAAAAGTTATTAGTATCTAGTATATAACTCATAGTATAGATATTATTTATTAAATAAAACTTGCGCTGTCCAGCTTTCTTACCGTTTGTTTACTAATCCCTTGCCCAGAAACATCTTTTGCCAATTTACGTCGCTTGAGTTGAGAACATTTGTGACAGTACCAGTTTGTTTCCGCAGTGTCTACAATTTGGTCGTCAATCTTTGGATCATGACATTGTTGATGATAAGGAGTATCACATCCATCACAGAGTACTATTCTATTACGCTTAGGGGATTTCCCATCATGACATAAAGAACATACAATGTCATCTGCATCGGCGAGCGGTTTATCACGAGGACGTTTCATTGCTGGCAAACAAAAGAGGATATGAGAATGTATACTCTGAGTTAACAGTAAAGTATTTCATAATTCATCTGATCAACATAATTTACTCACCAGTTGGTGATTTGGATGCAGCCCTCTTGGGCCGACCAGGAGACTTTCTCCTATCTGACTGCGGGGCCTCCAACCCATTTTTACTCGCTCCCTCCGAATCATGCGGTATATGGATAGATGGTGGTTTATGCGCGTTACGACCATATCTGATTGTTTCTGGTAAACCCTCTGCTGTACAAACGTTTACTATACATCGTAGTACAAATAAAATAGAAAAAACTGTAGCTTGCAAAAGTTACCTGATTTTTGCTGCTCGCTTTCGCCTGTGACAATCGAATCCGAGGTGCTTACTGCGCTACTAGCATTAATTGTCGATGCAACTAATTCGGACATGTCTTCCTCCAATTCGAATTCGCCATCCTCATCACCCTATGTTTATTGGTAATTTCGTGTCTGAGTGAGCATACGGAATGACGCTTACAATATTACATTACTAGACCATCAACTTAAATAGGTTCAGTTTTATTTTGGTGATCGATACACAAATTAAACCATGTCTGTAACCATTGTACATGCTCTTACCCATTCATCGTTCTGGCTGACATCTGTTGCGACTTCCAGAGTTGCTGTATGGCTCTCCAATTGAAATTGGGTCTGATCTTGCGTCGAAGCCCTTGCAGTGTCGTCTGAGCCGCCTGGGGATTGTGAATTAGTAGGTGTAGGAAGATCTTCCGGGCAGCTCATCTTTATGTTTTGTCTTTGATCTTTTAGTTGGGTGAGTCCCTGATTGTTTCCAAGAAGCTGATTATTGTCTATGTCAGGCATTTGATGCGATCGCGAGCTTGAAATGCAAAGGTAAATATGCTAAGATCAGAAATGATCTGTGGTGGAAGGGAAATTTGGGACTGTGGATGATCATAAGATCGAGTTTGTAGTACGAACTTGCCAACTATGGAAATCAGGTTCTTGATACAATTCTACTTTGGAATATTACGTTTTTTTCGCCAAGTCATTTAAAGTTTTGAGAAAACAATGCTAATAGTAGGAAAGGTAGATCAAAGATTGATACTATATTTAAGGAAACCAAAGTTACACATGATATTTATGGTAAGGTCGTTACCTAATAAGTAGTGACAACGACGAATACCAAAGTCAAAATTGGTTAATCGGTAAAGACGTATGATAATGCTACACAGTCCATATTTTATTGTCCAAAAAAAAAACTGGTTTATAAGAGCATGAAAATTTTCTAATTAGTCCTTCAAGATGCGGGCGTCAATTAGTAACACCAAGCCAATGCCTCTGTTGTGATTTTCATAAGGAAGACGTGTCTGTGTACCTTCCGCTATGCAAAGACTTTGAAAGCATAAAAACTCCACTTTGAGATTAGCCTTTTGAGTCCAAACTTCATTCTGCACCAAGTTATCCACAACAGTACGCTTGATCTCCCCCCAACTAGACACTCGTCAAAGTAACGAATGGGAAGCCCTTATTGAGATGTGTCATCGGACATCGACAAAAAGAAAACGGCAGTAGAATGCCTTACCGATGTTGGAGCGCAGCAACCTTGCATCTTTGCCCTCATTGCTTCATCCCGCATGCAGATGAAGCCCGAGCGATTCTACCGGAAAGTCTCGGGACTCTTGGGAGCAAATTGAACGAACGATGCTGAAAGATGAAGTTGACGGTAATACATAACGAATAAGCTTTATACACGTAACCAATTATATCAGTTAATATTTTGTTGTTTTGATAGTCGGCAAATAGGTACATTGACTATTTGTGCTTGTATGCAGGAGGAGCATACAGAGAAAGAACGACCCTTGTTCCTTGAAGCAACTATAGAAGGTGGAGAACTGTCTCTGCTACTTCAAATTGCCCTTATTATTATCCGACATTTCTATACTAAAACCAATAAGGAAAGCATACAATTTCGAATATCGTAAAATGGAGAAATACAAGGAGTGTAGAATTTGTTAGTTGACTGTTTATTGCCGTCTATGGACTTTCCATTGGCCGACGTATTGTAATTGGTCACACAATGATGATGATAGCTAAGCCGCATGATTTCGTAATTTTACAACAGACATTAATAAGGGTTTGAAATGCGATTGTTGATAATTTTTAACCACATTACATTTTACAAAATATGAATGTTTGGTAAAGAAATTACACTGAATAAATCAAGAAACTTTCAAGTAACCTGCATTGTTGATTGTCGAAATTACGACTTGAAAAGGCACTAAAAGAGCAATGGTCATAAAGTTTAATATTTGTCAGTTTTTAAAATGCATCAAAAATCCATAATGGGTTAGCAAATTTTGTGAAAACAAACCCCATCTGAATGTATAGTAGATTAGACAATGGTTAAAAATATTTTACATTAGAGAAGGAAAAAAAACATAATAATAACAGATTTATCTCACACGCAAAGACCACGTATCCCAATTGCAAAAACTTTTGAAATTTGTGTAACCGGCTTAAAATTTGTATAATTTACAATAAATATATTGAAATAAAGTTTGATCGTCAAAAACAATAATTATGACATCCACTTGCAGCCATCTTTTTTCACATATGATCTTGACCGAGTTTAGTTAAGCTGCACACAATAATAAGCCATTCCAAACTTATTGTGGATATTTGATGAGACTATTCTGAAGCATTATCATTGTATCACAGTCCCATATTAATATACATACCATACAAATATCACACTGTATCTTGCCTGATTAGAAAAAAACGCGTCATTTAACCACTTATACCGGACAGCCAGAGCTTAAATTTCGACTTGCTAGAAAACTCAATTTTCCCATCCTCTATGATGACAAATAACAGTCACAACATTTAACTGCAAAGAATTGATTGAATTTTATCTTTGAGAAACAATTATTGCATCTCATACGATGACAAATGGCAATTACACCATTTATATTACGTGGCAGTGATAGTCTCTATAAGTAATGTAAGTACTAGTAATTCTGCATCTGATCTCTAAGGCTTTATTCACCAAAAACACTTGTTGTTTTGTAGTATAGTCAAAAATACTATTACATTATTGAAAAAAGTTATTAATAATCGTTAACTAGTATACAAGTCGGACGAATGCTATATTTAATTATGTTTGCGTACACATGCTGGTTACGCAAACATTATATCATAAGCAAAATCCACACGATACATGATGAGCGTTGTTGAGTAATTCAATAAAAAAATTCGATTACATTACAGATAGGTTATCAAGTTGTACCTTGAAGTTCGACTATAAAGTATTCCCGCCTATATATCAGCGCTTTCCCAACCTAGCAGTAGAAGCAATTATTATTATAGCCGCGGAAACACTCACAATAAATAAAGAATATTACATGAGATTTTAATAAAGATTATCGGTTAATCGTATAGTATCTCTGATTTGACAACGCGAATATCTCGATGCCATTTCGAAACAATGACTAAGTTGAAAATCCAACTTATAAAATAATTTCCAAGCCAATTATGTAATAATGACGTTCGCGGTATTATCTCTAGGAACAAAATTATTCGAAATTTTGGATGTTGCTAACTCGGAATTCTGCACACTAATCCTAGATATTTAACTATTTTCGAGATCGAACACGATTTTCTACCGCTGAATTACGTCGGCTGTCTATCGTCAGGTTTTTACTAAAAAAAGTAACGCGTTGTGGAAGGTAGTAATTAATGATCGCAATGTCACCCAGTCGATCACGGTTTAAAGGTTTTGAAAAAGCGCCGGAATTATTTATTTGCGATGTGAGTAATAATTGATAGTATTAATCTAATTCTGTATTTGCTGTTATTAACAAATTGACACGGAGAATGAAATTACAGTATTTGAAGAATGCAGTATTAGTGGAAACATGGTTTTGCGCACGTGATGGACCACACTTATTTGTGATCTTGGTCAGTGAATTCATGTCAACAAAATTCAACCATTCGAGGCGCCTCGCCTTTTATTGTACCAGAAATCTTCCATACTTGCAAATTTACTCAGAAATCAGATGTGTATTCTTTTGGTATCATTATGTATTTGATTGCTACTGGTGAACCGCTTTTAGAGATAGGCAGTTCGATAGAGATTTAGTATGTGATATTGTGGACGGACGGACCACGACCATCGATGCCCGATTCCGCACCAAAAGAATACAAGAAACTTGCCGAGCGGTGTTGTGATGCTGATCCTGATAAGCGTCCAAATGCAAATAGACTTTGGGATGTTATTTACGAGCTTGATAATGAGATTTATTATGGGGACAATCTATGGAATACTATTTATCAATTTAATTTACATTACTCTGTTTGTGTAGATAATCTCACTCATAACCATAATATGAACGTTAACCACATGTTTCATACATACTGAATGAAAAGTATGACATTGAGTTATTATTATATCTCTACTGTATCGCTCACTGCACTGACAGTGAACGAAGTTTGTGTGACTCTCCTACACAAGTAGATGTTCCACAAACCATTTAAGCTTCTATTAACACGCGCTCTACACTTATAGTGTATTGCGCATAGGTGACTGGGGATGGACACATTGAAATAACTTGATCTCGCCTGACCAGAACAAGAAATGCTGGCTTTTCCAAATTCTATTACATTTAACTTTATGAATGGCTTGACAAGGATGTCTCCAAAATAAGAAGGCTTGATGTCTTAAAAACGTTATGAAAATACAACTTTGAAGCCAATTTGTTCTTCACAAGCAATGGAACCACGGAAGCCTTTTTATTGTGAAAATAACCAGTTTCTAAAACTAAAACAATAGCTTATGATTATTTTCATTGTGCAGACTAATACCAGCGTTCTAAAATACTCGGGTTGCCTTATTAATAAACCAATATTCTTTCTAAGAATTTTGTTCGCGCTCAGATGCATAACGCAATCATGATCAGTCTTTGCCTAATCCCTTGATGACGTAGTAAAACGAGGGGGAAGAGTCCCAATTTTAGCGGCTCAATATTATATTTCATATATAGCGTATTTAATGATGTCATATCTTGTACATCATACCATTTTACAGCTCGCTTTATATCGATCTCACATGCTCTCCCCTGTTTTTCGATTCGTTCATTTCACATTTTATTCCACATGTCACAAGTTTATTGGCTAGTTAGAAGCGTTTATGACTTTATACGAAATAAGGTTTTTTACAGTAATATATGGGTCATCTGAAGTCCGTGGCTCAGGATGGGCAAAGGTTTTGTTATGCCCAACTATGGACGTTTGAATGATCAAATGTAGTGTCATACCAGAACAATATGAAGTATAAAACTTGACTATGTAAATCATGATGTAATGGCTGACTCATGTTTCCTTGTTTTCACTATCACGGAGATCTTTTCCAAAGCCTTACTATCTCCCTATCTCAATTGACACTGCATTTATTGATACAGTGCACCTAATACAGGTACGTACTCAGACAACTTGATCAGATGACCCTGTGCAGACGTAAATGCACAAATATAGTAAAATATGTACTAGATAATATACGATCTGCACAATAAGCCTCGGGATGAGTCATAGCTGTCTTACGTTTGTTTATTAAATACAACGATTGACATTGCATCCGTGCGTTATTGTTATTACATTCAATATCTGATATACAGATATACACTCCTTATCATTATAAGACAAAGGGCATCACGAACCCTAGTTGTTGTGATTGGGGCATGAGTGAACTGTCCTTTAACAAGCAAAGAAGCATATAACTATTAAGACATAACTATTCAACGAATGAGATGGTCTCCTCTTCTTTATAATTAGTCTTGTACATATTCGTATGTTATACCCATATTCTATTATCCTAATATAGTGCAGTAGTATATCCGTGCTATCAAAAGCCACTCATACGCCCTTTCTAAACCACCTCTCTTCCACAGTCGAGTGCAGAATCTTTCTTACCCGACGTTTGATGAACCTCTTTCTCCTTCATCTTTCCCCCATCTCTCTTGCCATCTCCTCATCCATCTGTTAGTTGTAATTGTGTACTATTTATCTACCCGTTCATTCTTATCAGTTACACACCCGAACCTTGTTCACACGCATTCAGTTCACTGGCCAAATATGGAACAGCATCATCCAAAGACGCGTACAAAAATAACTGAAAGCAGTATACGGATAACAATATATATTCGGGATTGCCGGATTGTATGCAATTCGCTTGATAAACATAGTGACAGCCTATCATCAGACAACGATCACAATAGGGGCATTGCTGGGCGCGTGACTTGAAGTAATATAAAGGTACGAAGGACAGAACCAAGAATCACATCATCATACAACAACAACAACAACAACCCCACTTTCAACCACCCAGAATATATTAATCCTAATATCTCCCCCTCCAATACATTTACACTCACCCAACTCTCAGTTCTCTCTTCATTTTTGTAAACATGGCATCCCTCTCCAATACCGCTGACAACTGGGAAGAAATCACTGACTTGGATTTTGAAGATAATATCGATCTCGCTCAACGCATCACCGTCCACTCGGTTCCTACACCGCGCAGCAATGCTCTCTTGGATATCGATGATAGTAGCGATTTGAGTGATAGTGAAGAGTATCAGTTAATCGAGACTCATACTATGCCTACCTATGCCGCTGCTGCCAAGTGGGGAAACAAAACCAGAGAGGAAGAAACCGTAAAGGAGACGAGTGTGTGCGGGAAGGCAATAAACGATTATGGAATTAAGCAAAAAGGAATGAGGCTTAAAAATAATATAATGCCATCCTCACCACCGAGTTCGGATGACATGGACTCTCCGAATAGAATGAAAATGAACGATTCTCGTTCGTCCAATGTGAGAAATAAATGTAAAAAGAGAGATAATAAACCGACCAGTCACATCAATGAGAATCAAACACATCCTTCACCGCCCCCTTCACCGTCCTCCTCAACCGTCATCACTCCCCTCGATATTGAAATTCCCACCAAATCTTCATCACGGAAGATGAAAAACCGTCACAACACACGCAAAGCTAAAATAGCAACCAAAAAGCTCCAATCGCAGCTTGTCTCTCCGAACGAGGCAGAATTCTACGAATCTTACTGTCGTGGAGATACAAATAGAGATCCGGAGTTTGTAAAATATAAAATATGTAAAAAGGCAATGAAATATGAAAAGAAGACAAAGAGGAGTGACGGGAAGAGAGCTAGAGGTGATATTTGCGAATTGTGAAACTTGGGAGTTTGCTCACCAGTGAAAGAAGTGTGAGAGAGTAAATATTTGTCTTAATGTAATAAACAATATGGTTCATGTGTGGTTGATTCTATACTATAGCACACCCCTCCCCCCATCCCTAACTGTTTTATGGTCGTTGTAATATTTCTTTTATAGATGTAACTCCCAATAAGACTAGAATCTTTTTGATATTACAATTACTGTATTGACACCCATTGTCTAATCGCCCCCTTGTCTTATAATACACTTCACACATACCTATACTTCTCAGAGTCTGTACTATGTCCAAATAAATATGAATACCCACTTTTCGCTTAAAATTGTTGGATTTCTTCCGGTAATGCGTCAAACTGACATAACTTCGTTAAAAGACCTCGTTGAATACCTGTTCGTGTGTCGACTTCACCATAAATAGTATAGTCATCGAAAGTCTGAATCAAAACTAACTTTCTTTGGATTGGGCAAGTCTTAGCTCTTTGGTGCTCCTCACTAGTTCTGATCCTGTACAGTATGTAACAGAATTCGACCTCCAAAGATATATTATAATAAGCCAATATCCCCAATTTCTTCTCTCACCAAGTAACAACATGCTCTATCCAGTCTGCACAATGCTTACGCTCTGGAATGCTTTCACCAGTGAGATAATTATAGTCTAAGTAGACTACAGTTACGCCTCCCCCATATATGACGCACTTGCCATTCAGGTGAACGATGTATGGATAAACTTCTAATTGGATAAAATTTTAACCGGATAACTTGCCCAAGTTCCTGTGTTTTCGCTTGTGAGGTACTGTATAGATAGTAATTTCATTAGTTGATCAATAAAATTGCGTTTTTTTGATATACTTGCTTGCAGTTAATCATTGTCATTAGATTGTACAGTGATAAAAAAGCATGCGATACCGCATTTTAATGGTTTAGCGCTCTTGAATTTGAGTCATGTGTTTACTCTCTGTTAGTTAAATTCCTCAAAAATTTCAACAGTTAGGAAAGGGACATGATTGTGTTCGGGAAGGTAATAGTTCTTTCTCAACACAGATACGTGGAAACTATGACCACATCCAGATGTACAGTGACAACGCGTGAAAATACCGTTTTTATAATGATGTAAAACCCTTATCACGTTTGCAGAAGGAAAGTAAACATTATTAACTACTGGAAATTGCCTAATCCAAGAAACAGCCACGATTCTCGTCAGTTACCTCCATCATCAGATTTCAGCTTGCCGAGTTTAGAGGTCGATTGATGAAAAGTAAGGGATACGTAATTCCGACCGAAGCAGTCTTAAACTGTTCACGTGATTTGATTGGGACAATAATAATGATTGTCGCGGCTGGTGCTGAGTATATCACTATAAAAATTCTTTTATTTCACTATGGAAAAGCTTTTCAAGCCTATCCGTGACAGTGCAACAGCACAACGTCAAGGTACTCAAAATTTGCAGTTGACTGAAGTATATATTGGTTTGGGACAAGTAATATTCTCTAACAAATGGGCGGAAGATATTCTTGTCTTTTGTAATCCAAAAGAGGCGAGGTTAGAACTAACATAGAAAAATTTTAATTTCTTGGTAATTTCAGAAACACTTGCTTTTCTGGTTTTCAATAAATTAATTCCGTATAAGTACTATTAACAACCAGCTGGGTTTTGACCGCTTCGAATACAAAATGCTGATATTTTTGTAAACTGTTCAGTTTTTTTAAAGAAAATTCCCAACACGGAATTAAGATCCAAGTATCGAAAGCCTTTTCCGCTGTCATAGCGTCGAACCTTGTTTAATCCTGCTATACTCGATTTTTTCATGACCTTAACGATATGGTCTACACAATCAACTGTCGTCTTTCGGTAAAGTTTCTTAATCAGTCCGAAACTACCATCACACTAGAATTTAGTATGTCCTGGTACCATGAAATTTAATTCGATACTTTTATAATAACCGCAAATTACTAAATATAAACAAAATCAAAATAGTGACATTATCTTTGTTCTGTCCACCTGCGCCATCGCAAGTAATTTTCAAATGCTTTTCGCCTTTATTCAATCGCTTAATCCCATCGAATACCAGGCTCAGCGTACCGTTAGGGCCTTAACCGATAATGTCGTCTTCATCGAGAACGTAATTAATTTGTTCGCGTACTGCTTCATCTTGGATACCAAATAAATGTACTTTACGCGG